AAGAATCTCAAAAATTACAACAGCATAAGTATCTCAATTAAATTAAATTGCTGTAGGACAAGGAGAAGCTGCCTTTGTCTTATTTTGAAACTGATCTATGAATTTTTTATTGCAAATTTTTACACCCAAATAAAGCCTGGATTAATCGAAAATCGGTTGCTTTCACATGAGAAAATCTACTTATATTGGAGCCAATAACGCTTATAGGAACAAGCTCTGAGATGTCGAAAAGTAACGCAAGTAAATACTCGAAAGGCAACCGCTTCGAAAGTCGAAAATGTGTTGATTAGTGTTGCAGTAACGGATAAAAATGTATAGGGACGCTTCCCAACGAGGAATTCAGGTCTCATAATATATCCGCGAAAAGGGGGAAGCAAGTAGGGGATACAACTAAGATACAGATCTACATAGATAGATGGATAAGTAGACGAGTAAAAAAATATAAAAGAGCCAATATTTTGATGAAGGCATGGATTGCGGAGAAATTGAAAAGGTTTGCACAATGTTGTTTAAAGGTATTAAAATATTTTAATTAGCTAGTCTATCCATAGTTATGCACTGTAAATGTAATAATAAAGATGTATGTAATAAATTAGGCGGCACGGGCAGCTGGAAGGTGGGCCATTATTTTTTTTCTTGCTTCTAATGAGATAAGGGACATAAATAAACTGGCCTTTCTACTACTTTTAGGGCTTCCTGTCCATGATGGTGGCCACGAAGATTCTGACGGTGGTAGTGGGGCTGAAGTGATTCTTGCAAGCTATTTTTGCCGGCCCTTTAGGAGTGTTTCTCTGTGGTTCTGTGGTAATCTGAGCTGTCAGTCAAACATTCAAAGAAAGCCGTTTTCCTCAACCGTTTTAGGGGACTATAACTAAATCTCGTAGTTAAACACACATTCCCACCTGGTGCCAACTAAGCCAATTCAAATGAGCATTCGTTTGGAGAGTGACGGCAAATACAGGAAATTACCTACCGGGTCTGAAGAACCCTCGCCGGCATGTGCTCCATTCATGCGTGGCCGACAGCCACGTCCAGCCTTATCGACAAAACGTGTGCGTGTGTGATTGAGACGGTGGATTGGGGGGCCTGGAAGGAATGTATTGTCAGGGGTTTCTTTTGTCCTCTTCACTCCTGCCAGACATGCCAGCATCTCTTCTATCATGACTCTTCTTGTGCGTATGCGTATGGGCATGTAAACAAGTGCTAGCATGAAAGTGGAATGGGCATAGGTCAACTGATATGCTTCCGTCCGAATGCATGGGTCTCTGGGGCCATTACCTTATGCATCTACGCCATAGGTTTGGCGTACCGGTGAGGCTGGGGCAGCAGATAAATGAACATTTTCACCTCGTCGTCATGGCCGTTGTGGAGACTTAAAATGAATTGGCCCATTTAGACTTGCATTGTAATTGCACTACAAATGGTTTGGATAGTTTACATAAGTTGTAATTGGACCATCTTGTTAACTGTACCAGTCTTACTTGAGCTCGTGACAACCATCGAAACGGATCATTCCAAGAAGCAAGAAGCATTCATCTGGGCTTTGGCGCACTAAACAGAAGTTGCTGAAAATTCGTTCTTATGGAGGGGGTCTGTCCATCGCTCGCTAGTCGCTTCTTCGTGAACACACGGAAAGTCACTTCTTACGAGCTCAGTTGACTCGATTTGGGGAGGGGGAAACTAAGTTTTGCCCATCATTAAGTTACTAGGCCTGATAATGTCATAGTATTGCTTCATAAAATTGTTTCTCATCCAGGATGGACTGTAGTTGCGCTTTTAAGGCCTACTCACATCGAATATAAGTAATATTGTCAAGTGTAACGTCAAATAAATGAATGCCTTGTTGCTAATCCCACTAGAATTGTGCTTTGAAATTCAATGATAATTGCAAAATATACCCACACCCACTGCATTCTTTACTGCTTTGAACGGCGCTTGCCAGTCTTC